GTCAGACAGGGTGCCTAACAGTCATGTTAGGATGGGTAGGATCGTCAAGTGTCTAACAGTCATGCTTTTGGACTTTGGGAGGAAGCCGGAGTACCCGGAGAGAACCCACGCATGCATGGGGAGAACATGCAAACTCTACTATGAAGCCCTGGAAGTCGGGCAGGAGACCGACAGGACTCGCTATGAAGCCCTGGAAGTCAGACAGGGTGCCTAACAGTCATGTTAGGATGGGTAGGATCGTCAAGTGTCTAACAGTCATGCTTTTGGACTTTGGGAGGAAGCCGGAGTACCCGGAGAGAACCCACGCATGCATGGGGAGAACATGCAAACTCCATGCAGTTACTATGAAGCCCTGGAGGTCGGGCAGGAGACCAACAGGACTCGCTACCAAGCCCTGGAGAAGTGTATTGTATATTGCTTTTCAAAAGTGTAGTGGAGAAGTCTCCGACCACACTTCTAAATACAGGTGGCTGCTTCTGTGGCTGTCTGGTCTGAAACCCACTGCCTGTCTTCATGATGGCTAGACAAGACTTACTACTACTGGCTGCCATTTCTTCTGCTTCTCTGTGTCCCTCAGCCTTTTCTTCAACTGGTCCACTTCAAGCTGCAGTATTTGTATACACGCTCAAAGATACTACCTTTCTTCTCTAAGATTATCTGTTCCTGCTCCAAGGTGTTGTTTATTTCCTCCACGTAAGTTCTTTTCTTCTTCAACGTGATGCTTCTTTCCTTCAGGGCAGTGTTTTCCTGCTCCAGGGCAGTGTTTTCCTGCTCCAGGATCGTGTTTATCTGCTCCAAGATGGTAGTTTTCTCCTCCAAGGTGGCTCTTCCCTGCTTCAAGGCGGTGTTTTCCGACTCTAGGGCGGTGTTGTCCTGCTTCAGGGTGCTGATTTTCTGCTCCAGATCGGTCTTTTCCTTCTCTAGGGTGGTGTTTTCGTGCTCCAGGGCAGTGTTTATCTGCTCCAAAACGGTGCTTTTCTGCTCCAGAGAGGTCTTTTCTGTCTCTAAGGTGTTGTTGTTCTGCCTCAGGGTGGTGTTTTCCTGCCTCAGCGTATTTTTTTCCTTCTCCAGGCTGGTGTTTTTCTGACCCAGGGCGTTGTTTAAATGCTTCAAGACAGCGCCTTTCTGCTCCAGGGTGTTGTTTTCCTGCTCCAAGGAAGTGTTCATTTGCTTCAAGACGTTGCTTTTTTGCTCCAGAGTGATGTTTTGTACCTTCAGGCCGGTGTTTATCTGCTCCAGGACAGTGTTTTTCTGCTCCAGGGCATTGATTATCTGCTCGAAGATGTTGCTTTTCTCCTCCAAGGTGGCCCTTTTCTTCTCCAGAGCGGTCTTCTCCTTCTCCAGTGTGGTGGTGGTCTCCTCCAAGACGGTGCTTTTCTGCTGCAGAGCGGTCTTTTCCTTCTCTAGGGCAGTGTTGTCCTGTTCCAGGGTGGTGATTTTCTCCCCCAGGGCAATGTTTTCCTGCTCCAAGGTGGTGTTTTTCTGCTCCAGGACATTGTTTATCTGTTCTAAGATCGTGCTTTTCTCCTCCAGAGCGGTCTTTTCCTTCATCAGTGTGCTATTACTGTCCATTAAATTTCTTATTTTGTTTGACATTTCTTTTATTTCCTTGTCTTTCTCTTGAAGCAGCTTGTCTTGTTGACGGGCAGGCAGTTCTATGTTCTTATTTTGATTAATTTGCTCCTGACTTCCTTTAGTTTCAGTCTGACCGTTAATGGACAACATGTGGACCTTTTTCAAAATGTCAAACAACTTCTGTGCCTGTTCAGATGTGCTATTTTGCTGACTCATTTTTTATTCTTTTTTTGCACAGAAATTTAAAAACTGTTCAATGTTTTTCTCCTGTTATCGGTTTTGCACGCAATCGTTTGTTGGGGACAATCCGTCTGCTTTCTCTGCAACGTCTGCAATGGAAATGACTGTAGAATTCAAGACTACAGCTTTGTGACATCAATACATCACTCTTTGTGACATCATTTGCATGATGTCACAAACTGATGACTACCTCAACAGAACAACTAGAAAACTGCTGAAGTTTGAATAAAAACAAACTTTACGGCTGAATGCAGCTCGGCTTAGCTGATGGCCTTTGCAGACAGTTCAGCTGGTAAAATATCACCAAGGCTGAAATCTGCACTTTGGAGTCAGCGGCTCTTGAGGATAATGGACAGCAGGGTGCAGGACCAACTCTCTTAAAAAAGATACGTTAAAAAATAACACAAATATATTACCTTTAATGCACATTTTGTGTTAAAATGTACATAACATTATAACACACTGTGTTAAATATTTTAACACATTTTTGTGTAAATCTGTGTTGGTCAGGCACAGATTTTCCGACAGCAGATTATATAATTCTTCTCAATGACTGTTTCAAGTATTTTTTTTTCTACAATTGTTTTCAAATTTTTTTTCTGTATTTATAAAATTTTTACTTTATCTAAAAAATGCAATTACTGCTTGCTAGACCTTGAAACTTTGGAGTTGCTCCCAGTTGGTGGGTCTTGGATGTTGCCAAACACTGGATCTGATTATATTTTTACTTCTTTTATTATAAAAGCAATCAGATCAGTGAACAATGCTCGGTGGCCATTTTGCTCCTGCAGCTCATAAGCAGTAACTCTCCATTTTTCCCTGAGTTTGTCTGGGAGTTTCAGGACAATTGTTCTCATATTTTAAGGTAAATCCGACTCTCATGTAAACAATTCTCATATAGGACTGACATTATTAAGAAACAAATATATATATTTAGTTTTTCCTTGTCCTTACACGAGTTTCCATCAAGAAATGTTTATATTCTCTTTTTCATTTCCTCTGAACCTGGGTTTTTGTCAAGAAAAGTAAATATTTTGTTTTCTTTTCCTTATACAAGCCCTCATTCTTTTGTCATTGCCTCCTCTCTCCTGTTATTACTTCTCCGTGAGCATCTTTATGTTAATGACGAGAGCTGCCTTCTACGTCCAGCTCCTCTCCTATTGGCCAACGGAGCTGTGGAACAAGCGTCACTGCGTCAGACGTTGTGGGACGCTTACGTCTCACACAGTTATTAGTCGTTATCTTTACAGGCCACAGACCAAAACAAACTTTATCCTGGTGTTTTTATTGTGTTCTCAGTACTAGATGTGGTCTCAACAAACTCATGGCACTTCAACAATATTATTTTACCTTTTATCTGGAAATAGTGTCTGTTTATTCTTGCCATGCAGTTCTCTGTATTAATTATTGCTCGAAAGGTCTTGCCATACAAGTTTATTCCTCTGTATTTACTTTAGTTTCTTAGATTATTCTTGCATTTTGTTCTTCATTCATTCCCATTTAGTTTCATTTGATTAGTATTATCCTCTCTTGGCTCCACACTGCCACCTGCTGGATGAAGGATGACGACCGGCTGGAGTTCGCATCCTCTCTGGGCCACTTCCTGCTGTGATGTCAGAGTATTTGGACCTGAACTGAACTGGAACTGAACTGAATCAGTGAATCGTTCAGTCTGGTGTTGTGCTCCAGATCAGCGCCTTTCTTCTCACCAGCATCTGAATCTACAAGTGGAGAAATTTGATTTGATTTCTTCCATCAAGATGAAATTCTGCTGCAGTTTGACAGCAGAAATCTTCATCTTGAACTGTTGATGTTTGTCTGCTTCCTCTTTTTATGACTGACTGCCAATCATTTATGAGTATTTAATATTGACAATGTTTCTATCAATTCTGTGATTTAAATATTTAATTTCTAACTGGCATCTTTTACAGAAATGTATTATTTTGTCTTGTTTATGAGCAGTTAATGCCTATTTAATTTCCATTAAATCTGAAGCAGGATTACTGGTTGCTTTCTTTTTTACTTGAGTGATTTTTACAGCTTGTCCATCCAGTTCATTCAGTCAGTGGATTAGAAATGTCTTATTTTTATACTTTAATGTGTTATTTCATGACATCCTGTGTATTTGTACATGTTTCCCTGTTTTCAGCTCTAATAATTTAATTAATAATAATCTAATAATCTTTCAGGAGTTTTTGTGGTGAATCAAACACGATGCTGCCAGACTTTTAAAAATGAAGAATTATTCCCCAGATTTGCTGCAATAACATGGTTTATATGGGTGGTGCTGCTGCTGCACATAATTTATGATAATCAGTATCAGTCAGTACCCACAGAAATTTGATTAATTTTATTTGATGGTAAAATCAAACATCAGCGCAAGAAAATTTGACCTTTTAATAGTTTGATTAAACTATTAAACTATTTGATTATTATGCATTAATATTAGAGTATTATTCATTAATACTCTGACTGAGTTCTGAGTATTAATGTATAAATAATTACAAATATTTATCAAAATTATAATCAAAGCGTCGCAACCTTTAAGTTATTTGTTTTTCGGATTTCTTTTTGTTGTCAAAAAATAACTAAAAATCTAAGTTAAACTTGCACGGATTTACACAAAGAATATATTGAACGTTAGCGCCCTCTGGCGATCGATTATGGAATCACACGAATTTGAAATAAAATTTGAAATCGCCTTATTTTTATAAATACAGGGTGCTTGAGTTTTCTTTATTTTTGTACAATGACCATCTTTGACCATTTTATATTTTTCATCTGACTGCATGGCCACTTTGTCTTCAGGGGCAGTAGTAAAGTGATGCTCATATAGAAAATTTAACATTTTCTAGTCAGAATATGAAACAAATATGAAGCAGCAGTGGTTATCTTTTTCTCATAAAACATTCAAGAAATATTTTTCACTGAAACTTAAATATCTTTATCTGTAACAGGCTGAGTTTTTGCAACACCAGAACAAAAAATAACTCACAATCACATCTCTTTACACCCACTTCATTTATTCACTGTTTTTTGTCTTTTATATGCTTGAAGTAGTACCTTGTTACCAAAACTGAAACAAAACTTTCCTCAAAACAAGAAAAAATGGAAACAATCAAAAGAATTTCTCAGCTTTAGAGTGAAAATTGGCCAGAAAACTAATTTTACCAGTTTTTTCTTCATCTTCTTTTACACAAAGCTTATCGTAATGTTGACTGTCATCACTAAGTTCCCCTTTTATGGGAAAGAAAAACATCATTGAAATCTCAAATTAAGAAAATTAAACACGCCACGTATCGACTCTCAGACTCTACATGCTGCAAATCACACAAATTAACATTTTCCCCTGGAAATTTTTCATTTAGATTATAAACTTCAGGATATTTGATTAAATTATAGCCCTTCTGATATAGAATAGGTTTTATTAAAGTAGATGCAACCCACATAATTTCCCCCAAACTCAATAAAGTGAAAACATGCTGAACACAGTTTAAACCTGGTTTTGTTCTCCTACACGTCTGTAACTAAAACGTTTGTCCTTCAAACTGTGAAGAAACAAAGACAAAACATTTCAGCTCCTCCATTTTCAGGATCCAGATTAAGATGATCTGCAGCCGGTAATCCATCCGAGTCGCTATGGAAACCATCTGGAGAGACATAAATAAATTATTTTCTCTTATCCCTGCAGTTCATTTAAACTATTTCTCTCTTCCATTTAAACAAACCAGCCACACATATGGTGGCTGCTGTAATTCACTGAAATCATTGTTTCACTTAAAAACTTTAAAAATTGGACAAAGTCAACTTTCAAATTATCACTAACCTTCTTTTAGGTGGATCTTTAAAAGTTAATTTAACTTCATGCAGGAAGCTTTTCTCTTAAAGAGATTTGACCATTAACTTTTCAATACAAAACTAATGATTATTAAAGTGTTAAAAGTTGAAATATATAATATCACCTACTGAGTCCAGGCCAGGCTGATGACGGCCGGATCTCCATACCCGGCGGATCGGCGTCGTCTCTTAGAGCCGCCGCTGCAGTCCTGGGGTTTTATCAAAGACAGAGAGGATTATTTATTTTATAAAACTTCTAAGAATGCGACCAGAGCAACAAAAATCTAAATAATTATTCAGCTCTCCAGAGATTGTTGTGAGAACACCAAACGTTTCCAGTTTTCTGCTGATTTCAGGAAGGCGTACCGGGACGCAGCTGTTCCCCCGTTTGACGCACAGCTGCAGCTTGCAGTGCAGATAAACGTCCCCAGAGCTCCCAGTGAACTGGAACATGTTGAAGGAGAAGCGGTTGGAGGTTCCTTCTCCGTTTCCCTCCACCTGCACCGTCTGGTCGCCGGGGGCGGCACAGCTGCAACCAGAGGAAAGATTATCAAAAACAGTTTTATGGTTTAAGTAGCTAGAAATATTAACTGTTTACAGAAGCGCCTCACCCGTTCTTGATCAGGTCGTATCTCGGCTGGCTGCTGGGAGAGTCTCGGCTGGTTGCCCAGCATGAATCCGTTTCCACGGCGATCACGGCTGCGTCCAGTCCAGCGGTCGTCAGCTCCACCCAGATCTTCTGGTTGAGAACCACGGCGGTCGTTGAGTCCAGAGCGTGTGTGAGGCCGCCGTCGCTGTAGGCCTTCATGGCCACGGTGTAGTTCCACTGTCCAGACTTCACTATGACGACCACAGAGCTTCGGACACAGAGACACCAGCAGCTCGGTTAGCGCAGCAGGTAATATGGCAGCAGAATCTGAGGTTAACAGAAAGTTTAGCTTTCGCACCAAATTTGTCCCAGATAAAAATACTTTGGTGTCTAATAAAAAAAAATCATATTTACTGATAATTATTTTTATTTTTAAAGATGGCCATCATGATTGTAACAGAAAGTAGTCATTTGCATTAAAATCTGATGTAGTTATTGCCATTGATGGTCATAGCTAACCAAAATATGAGGTTCACTAAGCACAAATTTACTAAATGAGAATCTTAGCAATGCCAAAATATATAAATATACAAATAATTAGCAGAAGCTAACACTGAAAACCACTAAGCAGAAACAAATATTAACAGAAACAAACATTAAACCACTAAATATATAAAAAAGGAGCAGAAGCTAACACCTAACTGCTTAACAGATTAAAAAGCTTAGCGGAAGCTAATGCTAACCACTGAGAGTTTCTCAGTCTGTATCTCACATCCTCATCTCCTTCCAGTTGACGACAGGAAAAAGCAAACTCCTCAGTTTCTGATTTTGCTACATATTATTACTTTAAAGTTGTATAAATAGGATCCCCAAAGTCAAAAACACATGATACGATCTAAAGCTCATCCAAGTCATGAAAACAGGTGAAACATTTGGTTCAAAAGGCTCACAAACGGCGGCCATCTTGAGAAACAGACGTGATCCCGAAACTGAAGTGGCTAACAGGGAATTTCTTTCAGTTTGTATCAAAACCTGGAAGATTTTTACAGTAATATTTGGAATCAAGGCCTCAACAAGCTTCCCATTGGAGCTGCAGAGCCTTGAATGCCAGCACACACCTGTCCTTGATGTTGAAGGCAACAATCTTTGTTTCGGGCTGAGTGTGCTGGCAGGAGAAGTCGATGTAGAACTGGTCCTGGCGACTGATGACGTCAGAGCTGTTCTGGTACTTGATGGTGTTCCTGTAGGTTATTTGGCTTCCATTATTCTGTAAGAGCAGAAAGTACAACAATAAAAGCTCATCGTCATGAAGTTGGTCAGTGACGTGGAAACTTATGAATGCTGTACACTGCAAAAACACAAAACCTCACCAAGTATTTTCTGATGCAAATATCTTGGTACACTTAAATAAAATAGGACAAAAATACATTTTCAGCTTGTTTTAAGTCAACAATTCCTTAATATTGTTGTAAAAGTACTAGTTGTAGTGCAGATTAATTAACAAATTCTTCCCAAGTTATAAGTGAAATAATCTGGCTGAGGAACTAGAACTTTTTCATCAATATTAAGGAATTATTTACTAAAAACAAGCTTCTGATAAGTTAAGTTAGTCGTCTTAATTCAAGTATGCCAAGATATTTGCACCAGAAACTGGACCAGAAATTCTTGTGTTTTTCTGGAGTTGGGGTGATGAACCCACCGTGATCTCCGTCCCGCAGGTGCTGCTGCTGTCGAAGCTGAAGGTCACCATGTGCTTCTCCTCATCCATCGCGCCCCTGCAGCTCCGGTCGTTCAGGTGTAACGTAGAGAAGTCGACGCCTTTTTCCTCCAGCAGACATCCAATCAGGGTGATGGAACCAGAGTTCTGGCTGCAGACAGTTGGATCGCCTAAAAGTTGAATAGCAAAAAGAAAATGAGTTTTATCTTCTTTCTTGTTGTGAATGGCGTCTGTCTGTCTTACTCAGAGTGTTTGACTGTTTGTAGTCGTAGGCAAACGCGGCTCTGCAGAGGCAGCCGGTTCCCCCACTGATTTTCTCTCCACAGAACTCATGATCACTGCAGACTTTGTCCTGACAGAAACCTTCAGCCGAGGCTGCAGAGAAACACGGTGAAAAATCAGCACAGACACATTGAAGTCATGTAAAGATTCAGCCGAAGTGGATCAGTTCTTACAGCAGCCAGCAGCGGACCGCCAGTCTCCCACTGAGGCTCTGCTGTTCAGGCTGCAGGCTCTGGCGTAGGCCCACAGGAAGTGACACCTCAGCCCGTCCACTGAGGGATATTTGCACAGAGTGTCGCTGCAGGCGTTGATGTAGGGAGTCGGGTCGACGTCACCGTTACAGGAGGAGAAGGGAGATTCCTTCAGGGTGTTGCAGCTTCTCATCAGACGGGAGAAAAACAAACAGTTGTGTTTCAGCATGCTTAACTTTCATATTTTCAAACTAAACCGTATTAAAAGTGGATAAAATTTTAATCTTTTTATGTTTTGTCTACATGGATATCTTAAAGGTGCAGTTTACTGTTTGTTTTAATAGAAGAAACAGTAAATATTTCCTTTAGTGTGATTAAATCTACTCACTGGTCCTTTATCGCGCTGCAGTTGACTGAAGTGTCAAGAGAGTCGTTGTACTGAATCTGACAGCTAGGGGGAGACAAACCACATGATTAGAAGACATTTTGTTTTTCTTTGACTTGTCCGTGAGCAGTGAGGTGAATAAATACCCATAAGTTGTACTCAAGTAAGAGTAGTACTACCTCTATGACATTATATTAGGGCTTTTGTTCGTAGGGGGAAAAAGGGGAAATTTCCACCAAAATACTCAGAAATCTTGAGATTAATTTCAGAAATTTACTAGAAAAAAAACATGAACATTTTTGAGGTTGAAACTTTGAAAATGTGCGAGAACAAAACACGGACGGTTTCAGAAATCTTTGTACAATATTTACATTTTCCACTCTTGGAGCTAAAAAAATGTCTTTGTTTTTTTCTAGAAAATTTCAGAAATTATTCTCAAAATATCTGAATTTGGACATGTGAGTGTTTGTTGAGCGTCTAACCTGGAGGAGCTGTACTGATCCAACCTCTGGGCTGAGATACTGCTGCTGTTTACACACAGACCATCAACAGACGACCAAACTGGAGCTGAAAACATTCAGGTCAGAACGTGGGTCAGAAAGTTTTGCTCTGTGCTGCTGAAGTTTAAGACCTTTCAGTCTAATCTTACTTCCCGTGTGGATCTGTGCTGTGGAGCCGTCAAAGAACAAATAAATTGTGTGATTGGAGATCGTAAAGTTTGCCATGACTCCGGTTGAGTCTTTGGAAATCCAAACGCCGTGCAGCGTCTGTCCTGAGCTGCTGAGGTTCAGCTGGGTGTCGTTCATCTGTGGGTCAGAACAGAAACGTTGGCGGCAACGATAAATCAATCATAAATCAATCATAAATCAAACATAAATCAACCATAAATCAACGATAAATCAATCATAAATCAATCACAAATCAATCACAAGCGGGGTTTCCATTGACCATGTAATGGAGCAATTTGACATTTTGCTTAATGGAAACATCAATTTCGAATAAAAGTTTTGGTGCTAGGATGAGGTGGGATTTTTTGGCCATATTTAAATTGGTTTATTTTGCATCATCTGATCAACAGCTGCATGTTGCCACTGGAGCAAACCACAAAGAAGACGACAGGAAGTGACAGGAACATCATTTTTATGACTGAACATCATTGTTTTATGCATGAACAAATGTATTCACGCATGATTTTAACTGTATTCTTTAACTAATGGCAAAACATTAGCGAAATATTGGCGACGTTTTGCAGACATCTGTACTGGAAACACAGCTGGCTTCTGATTGGCTCACCTGGACTCTCCCTCCGTGCTGCAGGTGAAACTGAACATCTGGATCCTGCAGCTTCAGGGTGACGCTGTCCAAAAAGCTGACGTCTCTGCGACGGCGCTCCCTGAAGGTGGCAAACACTTCGAAGCCCGTTGATGAATCAGAGAGCATGGAGTAAACGCACCGATCCGTCACAGCAGTGAATCGGCCTTGAAAGTCGATGACGGCGCGGCCGGTCACAGTGCAGAGGTCGGCTGCAGCAGCACCTGCAGGCACGGACACACAGGTAGTCGGAAAAGTTAAAGTTTACTTCATGGAAGCTCATCTGTACATCTAATTTTTTCTATTTCCGTATGTATGGATGATTTAATAAAAATTTATTTGACATGAATCTAAATATTTTTCTTTTTTAAATAATTGCTTGACTTTAGGAATCAAAAATGTTTGAATATTTTCCTGTGATTAAATGTTTTTAATGGTTATTTTTCCACACTGAACTTGTAAACTGCAATATTTCAGTGTGTAAACACTGATTTACCTGTCAGTGCCATGAAGGTACACAGGTAAAGCAGGAGGCGGAGCATCGTGGAAAACAGCTGGCAGAGCTGAAAGAAACAAAGTTAGAAGAAGAAGGTTCAGTTGCTTTGCTTTACCCTCGGGAAATTAAAAAAATAATAATTTAAAAATCAGTATCTGGTTGTTTTATCATGGATCTGTCTATAGATGCCATGTTTCAGCTCATATTGTTCTTTTGCCAGATCTGTGCAACACATAAATCTTTTGTTTTAAACCCAGAACAATTAAATAAACTCCATTAAATCCCCTTTAATGCCACCATTAACTCTTTACATTTCAAATACCTTTACATAACTGAGTTGTTAAAATCTATTTACATGTTTCCTCAGTTACAAAAAAAAAAGAGGATTGGTTCAAAATGCGGCAGTTACCATGGCGACACACCTGGATAGTGATTGAACAAACTTTGCGATGCTGGAAATACCAAACAGCTTAGCCTGATATTAATGGGGAAAAAGTCAAAGCATCTTGTTTTAAATGTTATTAATAATATCTCAAAGCTAATTTACCTGTTTCACTGCAAAATAATTGGATTTTTTAAAATGTAGTGATACTTATGAGGAAGTGCAGCGTTTAAATGAGCCAGTGCCTCCGTTATTGTGTTATGTTTGTAAAAAATGACGACTTTATATAGTTACAAAAACACATTAAAAAGCTTTAGGTGGAAGTGTTTTAAAAAATAATGTTTTTCATTGCAACTAATCAAGTTAATCAAATGTTTTTATTGCAGTTTCTCTCCACTATGAGCTTGTTGTAAATATTAACATGCTGTTCATTTTTTTATGTTTTAAATGTAATAAAATGTGGTAAAAGTCACCTTCTTTGTTCCAGAGGAAATGAAATGATTTATTTTTCTGTGTGAAGCTAACCTCTGCTGCTCCTCGTTCTCCTGGAAACAACAAACAGATTTTCAGCAGTTTTCACTTCTTATCGGCTAAAATCTCTTTTTCTAATCTTAAATAATAACAAAAAAGACGTTTAAAGATTTAAATCACCCTCTTCAGCTGCGGGGAAGGATGATGACGGCGGAGGCTCCTCTGACCCGTCTGCCGTCGTCTCTGCTCCGTCCCTCGGTTTGTTTCCGTCTCTTTTTATGTCCATCCTCGGTCCCGTCCACACCCAGGACCAAAGGGAGCGGCGCAGGAAAAACGACACTGATGCTTCCTGATAACAATCTGAAAGCATCTTGTTACAACCACAGAACCCTGGAAACACGCATACATCAACGATACCGTGTGACATTCACAGAAACAAAGGGATGCAAGTTATTAACTGTGTTTAATCGGTTTCTTTAGATCATTTGGTCAAACATCACATTCACACGCTTTTAGAGGAAAACGTTTTTAATTCTGGACAGAATGTTTCTATTTGTCCATTTGAGGAAAACCGGGAGAACGTGCAGAGTTGATCTGCCATTCTTTATCTGTAGATAAAAATACAATAATTTAAAGCTAACATTAGCTCAAACTGAACATTACCACACAGACATTGAGTCTTTGCATCATTTTCTTTTAGTTTGCACGAAAAAAAACATGTAAACTGATGTTATTTTTGTAAGTTTTAATCAGTTTTCATTTATTTTTGTCCATCAGCTCACTGCTGTTCTAATTGTTATCAGTATTACTCTTTTTCTGATTTTCTGCTGCTTTGTGGAAGATGTTGGCTAAAGTAGGTCAAACTATCCTGTGAACGTCCATCTGTACGTTTTCCCATCAGCATCAGTGAACAGCCGGAGGTTCACTGATCCTCACGACTCTTTCCAGTTTGTAAAAAACAGTATCAATGTTTCACAGAGCAGAATTTCTATGACTGGTAATTTAAATCTGTAACTCAGCATGTCCGGTGGAAACCTTTTAACTTGAGTCTTTGGCATGAAGTCTCATCTTACCAGCAGATATGAGTCAGACGTTTCTGCAGAAATGACTGATACAGTTGACAGTTCAAAGAAGTTATGAAAATTGTGGCGCATATTTCTGTAAAAATCGTCCAGATGTGGAAACAAGCATAAAAGTTTCCATGCTCGCCCCTCAGCTTATATTTGTTTGTTTTTTTTTTTTCCCAAGATGGCCGCCATTTTTGAGTCTTTTAAGTTTATTATTGCCAAAAGATGTTGCGCATTTTCGCAGGTTGGATAAACTTTATGCCACATCATTTGCATTTTACTCTGGCAATCATATTCATACAAATTTAAAGAAATAATATGCAGCATCAAAAATCAATAATTTACCTCAAAGAATAGGGAAAAACAGTCTAATTGCTTAAATCTGTTTATTAATAACAGGCCTGCACATCCTAAAGGGAAGGATTATGAAACCCAACACCTAAAACTGTAAATACAGAGTGCTGTGCATTTGGGTCCACAAAAGTCTCAGAAATAAGGTTGCTAAATGACCAATCAAAAAATTGAAGTTATTGAATTATTAGTCTATTTTATTTTACCTATTTTTTTTTTCTCGCCCTCAACGTTGAGAATCTTCTTCAAACCGATCTGCTTCTGACTGAGCAGAACGGCATTCTGACATTTAATATGTACATTCAAACCACATAACTAGTTAATTATAGGGCTGATCGTCACCGAGTCCATTTCCTGTCTGACAACTTTACGCTTTGCTTTAGTGACTCACCTGCTAACGAGATAATAAGANGAATATGAAACAAATATGAAGCAGCAGTGGTTATCTTTTTCTCATAAAACATTCAAGAAATATTTTTCACTGAAACTTAAATATCTTTATCTGTAACAGGCTGAGTTTTTGCAACACCAGAACAAAAAATAACTCACAATCACATCTCTTTACACCCACTTCATTTATTCACTGTTTTTTGTCTTTTATATGCTTGAAGTAGTACCTTGTTACCAAAACTGAAACAAAACTTTCCTCAAAACAAGAAAAAATGGAAACAATCAAAAGAATTTCTCAGCTTTAGAGTGAAAATTGGCCAGAAAACTAATTTTACCAGTTTTTTCTTCATCTTCTTTTACACAAAGCTTATCGTAATGTTGACTGTCATCACTAAGTTCCCCTTTTATGGGAAAGAAAAACATCATTGAAATCTCAAATTAAGAAAATTAAACACGCCACGTATCGACTCTCAGACTCTACATGCTGCAAATCACACAAATTAACATTTTCCCCTGGAAATTTTTCATTTAGATTATAAACTTCAGGATATTTGATTAAATTATAGCCCTTCTGATATAGAATAGGTTTTATTAAAGTAGATGCAACCCACATAATTTCCCCCAAACTCAATAAAGTGAAAACATGCTGAACACAGTTTAAACCTGGTTTTGTTCTCCTACACGTCTGTAACTAAAACGTTTGTCCTTCAAACTGTGAAGAAACAAAGACAAAACATTTCAGCTCCTCCATTTTCAGGATCCAGATTAAGATGATCTGCAGCCGGTAATCCATCCGAGTCGCTATGGAAACCATCTGGAGAGACATAAATAAATTATTTTCTCTTATCCCTGCAGTTCATTTAAACTATTTCTCTCTTCCATTTAAACAAACCAGCCACACATATGGTGGCTGCTGTAATTCACTGAAATCATTGTTTCACTTAAAAACTTTAAAAATTGGACAAAGTCAACTTTCAAATTATCACTAACCTTCTTTTAGGTGGATCTTTAAAAGTTAATTTAACTTCATGCAGGAAGCTTTTCTCTTAAAGAGATTTGACCATTAACTTTTCAATACAAAACTAATGATTATTAAAGTGTTAAAAGTTGAAATATATAATATCACCTACTGAGTCCAGGCCAGGCTGATGACGGCCGGATCTCCATACCCGGCGGATCGGCGTCGTCTCTTAGAGCCGCCGCTGCAGTCCTGGGGTTTTATCAAAGACAGAGAGGATTATTTATTTTATAAAACTTCTAAGAATGCGACCAGAGCAACAAAAATCTAAATAATTATTCAGCTCTCCAGAGATTGTTGTGAGAACACCAAACGTTTCCAGTTTTCTGCTGATTTCAGGAAGGCGTACCGGGACGCAGCTGTTCCCCCGTTTGACGCACAGCTGCAGCTTGCAGTGCAGATAAACGTCCCCAGAGCTCCCAGTGAACTGGAACATGTTGAAGGAGAAGCGGTTGGAGGTTCCTTCTCCGTTTCCCTCCACCTGCACCGTCTGGTCGCCGGGGGCGGCACAGCTGCAACCAGAGGAAAGATTATCAAAAACAGTTTTATGGTTTAAGTAGCTAGAAATATTAACTGTTTACAGAAGCGCCTCACCCGTTCTTGATCAGGTCGTATCTCGGCTGGCTGCTGGGAGAGTCTCGGCTGGTTGCCCAGCATGAATCCGTTTCCACGGCGATCACGGCTGCGTCCAGTCCAGCGGTCGTCAGCTCCACCCAGATCTTCTGGTTGAGAACCACGGCGGTCGTTGAGTCCAGAGCGTGTGTGAGGCCGCCGTCGCTGTAGGCCTTCATGGCCACGGTGTAGTTCCACTGTCCAGACTTCACTATGACGACCACAGAGCTTCGGACACAGAGACACCAGCAGCTCGGTTAGCGCAGCAGGTAATATGGCAGCAGAATCTGAGGTTAACAGAAAGTTTAGCTTTCGCACCAAATTTGTCCCAGATAAAAATACTTTGGTGTCTAATAAAAAAAAATCATATTTACTGATAATTATTTTTATTTTTAAAGATGGCCATCATGATTGTAACAGAAAGTAGTCATTTGCATTAAAATCTGATGTAGTTATTGCCATTGATGGTCATAGCTAACCAAAATATGAGGTTCACTAAGCACAAATTTACTAAATGAGAATCTTAGCAATGCCAAAATATATAAATATACAAATAATTAGCAGAAGCTAACACTGAAAACCACTAAGCAGAAACAAATATTAACAGAAACAAACATTAAACCACTAAATATATAAAAAAGGAGCAGAAGCTAACACCTAACTGCTTAACAGATTAAAAAGCTTAGCGGAAGCTAATGCTAACCACTGAGAGTTTCTCAGTCTGTATCTCACATCCTCATCTCCTTCCAGTTGACGACAGGAAAAAGCAAACTCCTCAGTTTCTGATTTTGCTACATATTATTACTTTAAAGTTGTATAAATAGGATCCCCAAAGTCAAAAACACATGATACGATCTAAAGCTCATCCAAGTCATGAAAACAGGTGAAACATTTGGTTCAAAAGGCTCACAAACGGCGGCCATCTTGAGAAACAGACGTGATCCCGAAACTGAAGTGGCTAACAGGGAATTTCTTTCAGTTTGTATCAAAACCTGGAAGATTTTTACAGTAATATTTGGAATCAAGGCCTCAACAAGCTTCCCATTGGAGCTGCAGAGCCTTGAATGCCAGCACACACCTGTCCTTGATGTTGAAGGCAACAATCTTTGTTTCGGGCTGAGTGTGCTGGCAGGAGAAGTCGATGTAGAACTGGTCCTGGCGACTGATGACGTCAGAGCTGTTCTGGTACTTGATGGTGTTCCTGTAGGTTATTTGGCTTCCATTATTCTGTAAGAGCAGAAAGTACAACAATAAAAGCTCATCGTCATGAAGTTGGTCAGTGACGTGGAAACTTATGAATGCTGTACACTGCAAAAACACAAAACCTCACCAAGTATTTTCTGATGCAAATATCTTGGTACACTTAAATAAAATAGGACAAAAATACATTTTCAGCTTGTTTTAAGTCAACAATTCCTTAATATTGTTGTAAAAGTACTAGTTGTAGTGCAGATTAATTAACAAATTCTTCCCAAGTTATAAGTGAAATAATCTGGCTGAGGAACTAGAACTTTTTCATCAATATTAAGGAATTATTTACTAAAAACAAGCTTCTGATAAGTTAAGTTAGTCGTCTTAATTCAAGTATGCCAAGATATTTGCACCAGAAACTGGACCAGAAATTCTTGTGTTTTTCTGGAGTTGGGGTGATGAACCCACCGTGATCTCCGTCCCGCAGGTGCTGCTGCTGTCGAAGCTGAAGGTCACCATGTGCTTCTCCTCGTCCATCGCGCCCCTGCAGCTCCGGTCGTTCAGGTGTAACGTAGAGAAGTCGACGCCTTTTTCCTCCAGCAGACATCCAATCAGGGTGATGGAACCAGAGTTCTGGCTGCAGACAGTTGGATCGCCTAAAAGTTGAATAGCAAAAAGAAAATGAGTTTTATCTTCTTTCTTGTTGTGAATGGCGTCTGTCTGTCTTACTCA